CAAATCATTTCGAGCAAATGTGGCAAAGACAAGCCAAACCAGTCACTCGTCGCAAATTGTGTTTCAGAGAAAATGGCCAAAACAAGCTGGAATGTCAAATTTAAAAAAATCTATTTTATTACACTAAACTAAACTTTATATATGTACACATTATTCTATGTTATTTTCCCCATTTTAAATGTTAAAACAACACTTTTTAAGGATTTAAAGATAGTTTCTGCATGAGAAATGCCTGAAATCATAAACTTTGAAGGCTGATTTCTCATATATTGTTCTTTAAACAGCTGTGTGTTTAAACACTTGTAACTTTATAAGGAAATGTCCGATTTGACTGATTTTTTTACCATTTTATAGCTATTATTTTACTCTCTAACACTGTATTAATAACTCAAAATCAATTTTTGCGACGAGTGACTGGTATGGCTTGTCTTTGCCACAAATCTGCCCTGGCAGAACAAAGCAGGCATTTTTCCCCCCGAGCAGAAAAGCTGCGAGTTGGTATTTCCTCACATATTTTGTACGCTCAAAACATGGACTCTATATTCAAATGATTGGCACATCAAGAAAAGCCATTTGGGCATAGCACATAGCATTTAGTCATATCTTGGTATAACCTACTGCCTATTTAAATCTAAGTGTGAACAGAAATTTGATTTAGCAAATGTAAAGCTAACCTTTCACATGGTCAACATTTTACTTTCAGGCTATGAAATTGAACTAATGAACAATGGATCAGAAAAGATCTCCATGATTAAACACATGTCATTAGGTTTTAGCTGACTAAGCTACAGGTAACAATACATTTGTAAACATTGTAAAAGCGTTTCTTCAAGCCATTGTATCAATATGGATTCCTTTAAAACATAGTAGTATAAATATTTCTCCGTCCAAAAGTTGTTCTGATGTGTATTGTCCTAAAGTCAATGACTCATATCTGGTGGCAAAATTGATTATCAATAAAGTCTACTTTTGATGGCAATAATATTGTACAAGTATGAAATTTAATACCAGTATAAAATTGAAACCTTCATATTATAGACATCACACCTTGTACAATTAGCTAAATAATTTATGGTCATGCATTGTATACAGTAGCACAGCCAATTAAAAATACACATATACGGTAATGAACAATAGCAGATTATTAACATCGATAAGTTTAAAAATATTCATCATCGGGATGTAAAATACTTGTGAAGTTATTTGTGTTAATAATATACAACACTTGTATAAAATACAATTCACATTGCAATTATTAAAAAAGCTTATTAAAATATTATAACAATATATTTGAAAAAAAAAAAGAACCAAAATATTCCATACCTCTCCAACTACTTGTTTCACTGGCTCTGGAGCAAAGGAGACCCCTGGTCTTTCTTGAGGTCGTGACACCGGTATTGCTGGTGGGGTAGACTGAGGAAGTAAACAGTTAGTAAGCGCTAGTTAATGCCTGCAAGAAGTGAGCATAAAGCTGGTCAAATTCTGTGCCACATGCGATGTGTGTATTCAGGCTTGAGCATTGCAGGGGATGTGGGATGGGTTTCTTACCCAAGATAGTTGCCCATGGGCTTGCTAATCTGGGCCTAGATCTCATTAGGTAATCAAGCTTTCCATATTAAAGATTTCTGACGATTTGGTATTTGTCTTAATTTGGCTTATTATCATCCCTCATGCCTGAATGTTCTTATAAATAATGAATACAAATTGAAATGATAAGCATGTGGTTACTAAAAAGAAATACATAATTATCTCAATTAAAGATATACTGCTAAAAAGTTAAATAAATAAATAAAAATTTAACATTTAAATTGTTTACTCTTAACTGAAGATTAGAACATTTTCCTCCTCAATTTACCGACTACAAAAAGCAGAATTCTAACATTCTTTTGCATATGATCATTAAATTGGTTGGCTGAAATATACAGACTACAATGTGATATATTTTAAAACGTCTATTAATAATTTTCAGTTTTAAGCTTATAATGTATTTAAATATACAAATGAAGTAATTCATTTTTTCCTTATCTAAAAAGTTTATTATATACTTAGTTTGCAGTATATCTTTAATAGCCAGGTATTATTATATGGATAAAATGTGGTAATGCTTGCCTTCTTGTAATGGGTGTAGTTATTACATTCATAAACTTTAGAAATATAATTATCATGAACAAATATAATTGTTGTTAATAACTGCAAAGTAATGAATTACCAAGGAAAAGGCATTCATTGATTAACAGATAAAAACATGCAGAGGAGAAAAATAAAAACGCAACAAAAGTTGTGACAAATTTGTTTGATGTGCCCATATAAAGCCATGATGATGTCTATTTCCACCCACATATGGGCATATCAGTTATTTGTCGCATAGAATTTGAAAGTGTTGACAAAGCTTAAGGATGAAGACTATTACATGTTCTGACCAATTAAGTATATAAAAAAATAATTAAAGTTTAAACAGTTACGAATTCCCACGCAGTGACTTTGCGTGAGCCCAGTTAATCTCCCAATCATGTGTAAAATGTAAACATCATAATATCTTCATGCCAGTCTTATTTGTCCAACTGGTTATAAGCTTTTGGATAATATTTTTGGATATTACATACGGCCTTAATTTTACCTTTGACCCACCCACTCACCAAAAATACAGTTAATATCAAAGATATAGATGTATTAATATATTAAAAGCACTTCTGAATCTGAAAGTCCTACTAAATATTAATGGGAATGATCTTATCAATTTACAATTAGTTTGTGGATGATTTTTTGTTTTAGTTAAGAAATCACAAATTTTGTTACTGCAACTTAAATAAAGCAAAAAAAAAAAAGAAAAAAAAAGCAAAACATATATTAATTATTGCCATAATTATCTATAAAAAAAATATACTTATATACCAATTTGATGGCTATGTTTTACATTCTATATAGTTAATGTTACTGATACAATTAAAGAGGTTATTTAAAATGAATTATTATTATATTTTAATTTCTTAATGTTACAGGTACAATTAAACAGGTTAATTAACATGGATTATTATTATATTTTAATTTCTTAACAGCAAATATAATTGAAGCTAATATCCAAACAGTGTTAGCCACATTCAAAACCACTGAATAAAAATACAACTACAAAATAAACAAAACATCAACATAATTCTTCTATATCCAATTTTTCAGTGTTTATTAAAATATAACTTCACTCCATATTATATTTGAATAAATCTACAGTGTCTGGATACTAGCATGCATCGTACAATTACTTTCCATTGGTAAATTCCAAAACCAGCACTGTAACTACAACGCCAACACTACGAAGTCCAGTATCAAGTATTATCTAAATCCTGTTTATCTAGCTGAGGCTATTGATTTGCATTTCATGCAAACTGAGATACGTTCATTTTGAAAAAATCTTTACTCCATTTAAACCTTGGAATATACACCTTGTATTAACACATTTTTTTTTCACGAGTGATAATAATAAATACTAAAAGACTAAAAACACTTTTTTTAACCTACTGCTAACTTTATATTTACATATTATGAATACTAATGAAAAAATAGAAAAATGCCCATAAACTGATAATCATTGAAAACATGAATTTGTTCTTATAACTGTGTCCACGAGAATACATGCATATGAAAAAATATACATTTATTTATTTACAAATTTTACCAGGTTTAAAATATCTCAATATACAGCCCAAGCTTTTCTCAAGGGATACTAAAAATAAGAATTGAACAAAGTATGGTTTTTATTCCAAAAAATAAACTTGTTAGCAAATGCTCTTTCTATCATAACTAATTAGTCTGGCTACAATACAAATTAAAAAACTATTATTATATAATTTAACCTTTTAAATGCAAACCACCGACTGCATTAGATGTTCCTTAATAACACATTAACATAAGATTTTCTACAGTTCCAAAATTGTAAACGTTTTACTGTCTTGTGAAAAAAAATGTATGAAAGACTGAGGTAGTAGGTACGTAGGATTTAGAAAATAGGTTAACAACTGCACAAGTAACATTAAAAAAACACAGTATCTATCCCGACAATTAGAAATGAGTAACACGATACAAAGAAAATCACCTAAAATAGAGAATACCACATATTCTGTATTTATACATGTACAACATATTTTTTAAAACGTAAGCTCGATAGGAACTGCATAACAAATCATGCTGTGAGTTTCTTTCACACCTTAGATAAAACAAACAATGGCAAATATAATCAAATTTAAGTTAAAAGAAATGGCATTTAGCATTTGAACTGCACTTGAGTTTCTATGCAAATAACTTAAATTTGATAAATATATAGCAGAACGTATGAAGGATAAAGTGTTTGAAAGGACAAGATCACAAACAACCACGGTTGCGGTATGAGGAAATAATACCCAACAATACATGTTCATGGTTTATAAGTGCAATAATTAAAATTTGACATGATCATGATATAATTTGGATAAATTAATACTAAAATACTAAAAATAAATGATTACTAAAATGCACTTGTGTTTTTAATAGATTCAAAAACGTTTCAGTTATCATTTCAGTTATTGATCAAAACATGCAGTGCAATAATTTATATCTAAATGGAAAACGGCTTAAGAATACCATTCCGTCATACACACATTTTTAATGTAGATGCAATGAAGGTTTTTTTAAGGATTTGATGTTTCTAAATTCAAATTGATCATAGCTAATAGCTAAGTATAATTGATTAATGGCTAACATCATGACTACAATGGTGGTAATAATAATAATAATATTATTAATAGTAAATATTATTATTATTATTAATTCTATGATTGGTGTAGTAAAAACATGATGAGAAGTCTCAGCGTTCTACATGTACCTCATGATTTTCAGCCGTTGTCTGTTCGATTTGCTCGGATACTGGTTGCATGTCTGCGGAGTAGGTCAGCACCTCCTCACGAATAACCACGATTCTCATGTAGTTACCGGCACTTTTCAGGGCTTCTACGGCGGCAATGTGATCAGCTGCCTCTAAATTATGATCGTTAACCTATATGAGAATAAAATTAGAAAAATAAAGAAATCACTTGTACTACTACTTTGTACATTATCTACGTAAATTTAAAATTATTACGTGAAGTTGTGAACAGGAAAATAATCCCTTGCCAGTTAACGAAACCATTTCTCCTTTTCACACCCAACAGCAAGTACGTAACATGCCAATTAAAAAATGGAATGACGCTCTTATACATCACTTATAAGTCACTTCAGGGAGGAAACCTGTTTACTAATCATGAGAAAAATCATGTAGTGACAGGGTTTAAACGCAGGACTGCAAAGGAAGAATCTTGACAATGCTTCTGTATTCTTTGCATTAACCTTAAATTGTCTATCAAATGAACTAAACATAAAAATAAGTAAATAATATATTTTATATATGGCAAGACTTTGTTTTTTTAATACCTTGTTTAACAAACCCGCCGCCAATAATGGAGATTAAAATGATAAAATGATGTTTTTCGGCACAACTATTTGCTAAATAAGAAAACAAAATATTATTTTCATTTTTTTTTCTGCCCTCCTCTGACGATCTTAAAAAAATAAGTTCACAAAACAAGGTATAAAAAAGTCTTGTCTAAGAATGCCTGTGTATGTAGTTGAGATAAACTGTTAAGTATGCAGATACATAACAATGGATGTGGATATGAGCACGTGGTGGTGAATGTGCAAATGAAACATCATCTTACAGCCAAGATCTTGTCGCCAACACGCAGACCTTTCTTGCCAGCAATTCCGTCAGGAACAACACGAGATACAAAAATTCCCTGTATCAAAAGAATTCAACAACTTTAAAGGAATACATTAAAAAAAATATGGAGCACTTCTAACAAATTGGTTTATAAAATTTTAATCTATTTAGCCCGAAATGATTTTCATTGACCTATTTGTAAATTGTAGAGCAAGCATAGGCGCTAAGTCCACAATTCCGAAGCCCCAGAAAAAAAAACATATGAACCTTAATGTAGAATGTTTTTAGGGTAACTGAGGGGATATCCTAGCTTCTACTGGTGGTAACCCTATTGGGACTAAGAAGCAATATTATATCAGGCCTTATGGTGCTTTAAGGTTATAAGGACAGGCAAGGCCTAAGCAGGCTCATTATTTTATAATTTTTTCTTTGTTCAATTTATAACTAAATCCAAATCCCTGTACAAACTTTCTATTTTTATTTGACAAAAAAACTGTTGTATGCCCATATATAACCATGATGTGTCTATATATGGTCATGATATTATGCCATCATAACCATATTTAGGCGTGTCAAGATTTTGTAAAATCAAATTTGAGTCTGGACAGATGTAAACGAAAATTAAAATAACATTTTGAATTTAATCAAGAAATACTGTTGCAATATATAAAAATCATCCATAACAAACATGAAAAAAAAAAAATAACTAAATAAAAAATAAATAAATAATTAAATCAAATAATGAAGAAGCACCTCATCATTTCCTCTGTATGGCGTTGATCCTTTTCCGCCGGCTATACTAATGCCAAGACCACCTCCGTCACGAGTGAACTCGATCACAATCTGTTGAAAAAAAAATACAAGATCAAAATGCAAGAACATAATCAAGGACTTCTTAAGAAATTCGAAGAAATCAGAATGAGTACCGGCAGTCGTTAAGACATCATTTAAAGGCTCTCCAAAGATGAATAATGTAATACAATAAGCTAGCTTTAGTATGTTGAGGGAATTATCAAGATTATTACAGATGATGTTAATCACACATTCTCTGTGTAACAGCTTAATTCTCTCATCCAGGTTATTCCTGTGCACATTTTGTTTTGCTGGACAAGAACATGAACTTGAAATGATGTACTGCATACATTAACCGACATTTAAATTACCTTCAGGTTATTGACACGCCACACTAAACATAGAACTATTAATTATAAATTATTATGACTGATAATTTTTTTTTCATTAAACACTATAAATATATATTATTATTAATATAATTATTATTATTATTATAAATATTATTATTATTATTATTACTATTATTATTATTATTATAACTATTACTATTACTGTTATTATCATCATAAGTATTATTATTGCAGTCACTAATATCATTGTAAAACATTAGTACTGTAGTAGGCCTACATGTAGTCTTGAGATGCACAAAGCTCATGTCAATAGTTGTAAAGTATGAATTATAAAATCAATGTATGAAACATTAACTAGAATCAAAATCACATTAAATCATATGAATCATACTCATAACAATGTAAAAAATTAGTACTATAGTCTTGAGATGCACAAAGCTTCTTTAACTAATTGTCTAGGTATGATTTATACAATCAATGTACGAAATGTAAACTAGAATCTTATAATTACATTTCACAGCATTCATGTCAGACTCTAGCTGTCTAGCGTAGTTGTAATTTGTATAACCTTTCAAGATATTTGAAATTTGACAGACATATTCACTTCCATATGTTACAAAGAACTGTGAATACCGACATCAAATGTACAGGTATTGTACAAGTACACGTGATAGCCAATTGAGGCTAATTGATTTAAGTATGCATCAAAATATATGGAAAAATCTCCACATTATTTTTAATATTATAGTAATTAATATTTATAATACTATTAGCATTATATGACAACATTAACATTATATTTTCTTTATTACATTGAATTATGAATAATTTAGCATTAAATCTTCAATTTAATATAGACATTTTTTTCTTTTGCGCACTCAAATTTATCAAAAAGAATATAAAATCAAAAATACATAAACAATTTATTTAAATTTATTTTATAATGGATCAACATATATTAGAAGCCTTTGAAAGTTAAAGATTACAACCACAAGCAAAGGGAAAAGTTTATTATGTATCCACACAATAGATGCATTTTCATTTCATGCTTTTTGCCACAGTACATTTAAACAACTAACATGCAAAACTGAACCAAGCAGCTGGAGACGGGATGCAGTGATACATTAGGAAAAATATTGTGAACAAGAAGCATAATAAAATACAGAAAAGTTAACACATGTAAGAAAAAGAAATAAAACAAACTTAAAAAATACCCCTGTTGACAAATGAGAAAAGTCTGAATATTCTTTGACAATTTTGTAGAGTATTTGAAAGACATGGTATTTTTTTTTAATAACATTTAAAATACATAGAGGCTTCTTTAATAATAGACACTGTGATTCACAACGTGACGGAGACAGGAAAGAATACATACTATTAAGTGTACGCAGTGAACTTGCATAATATTAAATGTGACCAAAAAAAGAAATCAGACAAACACATGGGAAGAGTTGAAACCAATGATTTTTAGCAGACAAAACACTTTGAATTACTGAAAGACATAACAAGCAACAGAAGAAAACGTTTGAAATAGCGACATAAAATAACGAAAATTAATGGTAGTCCATTAGGGTAATGAACTATGTGAAACAAAAACAAAATCATCTATGCATTGGTAAAGGATTATTGTCTGTGATGAAATATTGGGATAAAATCCTTAAAATCAATAAAAATATTGAATTGCTTATTAAACGCTCTGTCTAAACTATTAAACTTTGACAAAAACCTGTCACATGCCTAAATATGGTTATGACATCACATCATGACCATATTTAAGCACATCATGACTATATATGGGCATACAATTTTTTTGTGCAATAAAATTTGATAATCTGAACAGAGCTTAAGATCAAATAAGCTTTCAAATGATTAGAAAATCAATTCAGTTTTCTTTGATTTTCTATTTAATATAAAACAAAAATATTAAATTGAGTACTAGCCGATTTCATTACCAAATGTAAAAATTACTGGAATGGATATATTTTTGTAAATGTTAAATGGTGGGAAAAATATTTTCTCATTCAGAATTTAATCTGAAAGATAATGAGCTTATATTATTACCTAGTAAGACATTCACAATTTGTTTCTCAATTTTTTTCAGAACAGACATTTATACCTTCAACAATGCAAAAATACAAATATTTTATTTTTTATAAAAAAAGAAAAAAGGTAAACAAACTGGAAAAAATACCAGAATTTATCAAATCTTGTTAACATTCGAATATTATACAATGTACTTATTTACATACTCATTTACATATTCATGCTAAATAATCACCTTCTCTGGGTTCTGAAATACCATACCCATTTGACGAGACAGTTCCTGGCCAAAATAATCAACATAATTCTAAATAAATTATCAGCATTACAAGTTAATTGTAGCAATGTAGTTATATACACTTACACTATTATATCAACAATGAGTAAAGAGCCTTGTCCAAAATATCAAATATTTTGACAAAACATGTGAAATGCCTAAATATAGTCATGATTATGTCATATCATGACCATATATAGGCACATCATGACTATATATGGGCATATAGCAGTTTTTTGTCCAAAAAAAAATTGATAGTGTGGACAGAGCTTAACACCCTAATTTGGAAATTAATTTATGCAAATCAACCATCAATCCACATGTATGCAAATGAAAGGGGCAAGTGTACTATGTCTTACAGTGTGATTACCAGAAGATAAAAATTGGACATATATCTTTTGAGATCCTATTCCTGGATCAATACTTCAAAGTGGCATTCTCACAAGTCCCAACCTATAATCACACATGCACAGCCAATCATAGAATGGCAAAACTCAGAATGTTTATATTTTCCCAAGGCATTAAAAAATGAAAGCAAACTTGAAACTTGTTAATTTGTTTTTGATGCTTTATAATCTTAAGCCTTGTCCAGACTATTAAATATTATTTGACAAAAGCATGTGACATGCCCAAATATGGTCATGATGATATCACATCATGACTATATATGGGCATACAAAAGTTTGTCAAAAGAAAATTTGATAGTTTGGACTGCGTTTTAAGCCCTATTTGTATTGGATTTTGGTCAAACTAAATTATGTACCATAACATTTTGACCATAAAAAAAATCCAGCGATAACCTCTAATTTAACATTCTCCTTGGTAAAAATACCCAAACCGTGTGGTAATTTTAGCCGAGCAAATCAAGCACAAGAAGAACTACGCTGTTTTCCTTGAGCAAAAAATCTGAGTGGCGCTATTATATGTAATCAAATTTTGTGCAGCGATAAATTTGAACGCATCTACATTTTGAATGTCACGTTTACCTTCTATTATTCGGAGACCATAACTCACTACGTGTGTGTTGAAATGCTGTGAACTTTGCATTTGGATCGATATTTCAGTATGTTACTCAGGTTTTACAGAGCGCAAAGAATACAAACTGTCTTTAGATTAGAGCTTACAAATAATTATGATCTAGTCACATGATTAATGACAAAAGTATGTTAATATTTATACACATAATCACAGTTCTTTCAAAATACCAACATCACAAGCAACAATTGACTCAATCACATACAATATTTGTTAGTAATACAAGTTGACAATACTTCAAAAAGCTAAGTGCATGACGAGCAAGCTAATAAGCAAGGCCGATGAGAGTAGGAGTGAGGGAAAAATGCAAAGGGCGGGTGGATAACTGGAAGCTTCAAGAAAACATATTTCCAAATAAACCATCATAACATGTAGATCAAGTTTGAACATTGGATTGATGGGTTTTGTGTATCATTGGTATACTTTAAAAGGTCAATTCTGATGTTAATCAGCTTATAGCATATCAGTTAGTTTGTTACGGTTATGTTATGAGTTTTGGCCAACATAAGTCAGAAAAACAACAATAAAGAACAACACTATATTATACTGTACTGTTTGTAATAAAACATCTTACATATAACACAACAGAAATCTTGACCCTAATATATCTATTAATCATTATCATTATCACATGACATGAGAAATATACCATCTGCAAATGACTAATATAGTGAAAGTTTACTTTTCTGTTTCTAAATATTACGACATCATGAACTATGTAGTGTATTAAAGGACTAAGGTTTTTAGATAAGGGAATGTCCTGACATTTGCCAAGAATTGAAACCTTGGAATTGGAAGGGTTGGCACCAGCAGGAAAGTGAATTAAAAAGTCATTTTTTAATTTAAAATTCATATAAATGGCTATTACAAGTTTCTCTGGGTGGGGACAAAAACCAGGATAAAAAAATATAGATAACATAATACGTTCTAAAACTTATCATAACAGATAATTTATGGCTAGATTGCCTCTGGGCACCCAGGGCTCCTGGATCCTGATCGGTTTCCCTGGCATCTGTCAAATAATGTCAGGGCTCTCCACCCCCTCCCCAAGGGACTGTTTTGCTTCTGAATGTATCCTAAATTTACCACTAATTGCTAATGGTGATATACTAATAAGCCAACTCATAGTTTGAACTGCGCATGCCCATATCCAAAGTCAATCAACATAACTTATGTTGTGTGAATGTTTATGTCGATTACCCTTGATATGGGCATGAGCAGTTCAAACTATGAATAGGCTTATTGAATCATGTGGCAAAGCATCCTAATCACCTGGCTACAGCTCCACTATGGCATACAGTAAGTAAGCGGGATCTTTTTCCATTACTATTAGCTATACAACATGTAAACTCCTTAAGCGACATTCACAGAACTATACTTTGCACTGAACAAAGTTTCATCTTACATCTTAAATATAGATACCATTGTCAACAATAAGATGTAAACAATTAACTTGGGATGACCTAACACAAACATTAATGGTAAAGGATTCGATATTCATTATGTTAATATGTTTGCTACATATTAGTATGTTATTTTCAGTGTAAATTATTATCCCCACATTACAGCACATGTTAATGAGAACTGGTAAATGCAGATACCTGTGTAATAATCAGTTACATTCAATAAGCCAGACACACACTAACAAATTTTTGCCTGCCAGACACAATAAGCCTAGACAATGTGCGACTGGGCTGTGACAAAGTGCAGCACTGCCAGACTCACAACAGACATGTAGGAACACACTATTGGTTGGTAAAATATGTATGAAACAAGCATACATACTTAAGAGAAATCTTATCAAATATTGCCTATTGAGTCTGACAAACATCTGAAAGGGTGTGTCCAGCTTAAGCAAACAAAACACAAGTAATCATATAAGAAAATACTATAAGAAATTACACAAATCAAAGATAAATAATAAAGTTAATATAATGATAAGGCCAAACAAAAAGAATTGTTTGTGTAGCTCAGGCACACTGAAATATGGAAAACAAGGTCAGTCAGGAATTTTTTTCCCGTTTTACTATAATAGTATAAAACAATTACAGTAAATGCTTGAACAAGCGCTGCTTTTAAACAATTGCCGTATCGAACGTGATTTTTTCATTAAGCACCACTCTCGAATAAATTGAGATATAATATTATTACCCTGTGTGTAATGAAACACTTTGAGAAACAGGGTCTTAAAATGGGTAACACAATGAAGACAAGCATTTCTTTATAAACGGTATTTACGACGACGTAGGACCTATGATAGGTCTACTAAATGGGAATGGGGATTGGAAAGCGACACACCAATATTTTTTTATAAGCGTCACTCTCGTATAAGCGCTGCACTGAGGGACCCAAAAAAAGTTATAAGCGCCGCAGCGCTTATTCGAGCATTCAAGGTATCCACTGTAGGCCTACTTAATTACTCCGTATATTTTGCTTGGATAAATGGTAACCACAGGACTGCAATCAATACTTAGGGTATCAAATTTAATTATGCTTTAAAAGCAGCAGTAATTTGGTACCCTACTTGGTAAAAATATACTTTGTCAAAAAGATATAGCCGACCATATATTTTCAAGATCTTGGGATCTTGATAAAAAATATTTTCACAAGAAAAAAAAAGCCAACATTAGATTTTTTAGATTTTGGGTTGGTCCAAAGGGCTTGAGCTACACTTTGTTTTTGCCTAATGATGATGAATATTATAGCAATAAACAAGATAACAACGGCGACGATAATAACAATCACAAGTTCGGCAACAAAAAGACATTCTTTGAACAACGCAAGCAAGGCAAGCATCAGGCATCAAAGCTGATTAAAAAAGGATGGTAAAAGCAATTAATGAAACAGCAAAAAAAAATTTAAGAGTGAGCAGGATGTTATGATGGTACCTGATCAGTATGTGTTCCCTCATACTTAAGAAAAGTCTCATTAATGGACTGATAAACATTGTTACTCAATTTTAGGATGGGTGCTGGCCTGTTAGTCTGTCAGATAAGAAAATACGAGCAAAATAAGTAGCATGTTCTACAAATCATACATGCTTCAGTGGTTAATGTAAAGCTATCGAAGAGAGACAAAATAGCGATTCTGATTGGCTAATTTGCTCACTATTAGCAAAGTGTACTAACACTACACCAATAAGAATGTCACTATGGGGGCTAGTAGGTGTTATTTCTTGATTGTAAGTTTCACACAAAACAATCTAGATGTGTTACAAAATCTAGAGCATCCAGCCTAATAGAATGCAACATCAAAAAATGTTAGCCCAAAAAAAGTTTCCCAGAATGTTAGAAGCTACTACTTAAACTCCTGTAGGAAAGGTGTTAAAAATCAGGCATATGCTTAAGAGAATATGGGATTACCTTTTCGCACATCCCTAAAAATTTACCGATTATGTACACATTTTTAGAAGCTTGAAATGAGATCTGTTGAGCATACAGGTTAAATTGATGTTGTCTAATGAATGAACGCCTTGGCACATGTTGTCTAGGACAGTATGAAGCACATAGAAAAAGGCAAGACAAATTACCCTTTCTTCTCTAATTTGTTGCGTATCCATGGCTTGCTGGGCAAGCACCCTGTTTAATATAGCGCTGGCATCCTCGTCCAGATCGTTAACACGCTTGTTCTTCAGGTAATGAGGCGTGTCACGTCTGTGCAATTTCTCATGCCTTTCCGGCTGTTCTTCGTCCGAATCAAGATTAACGTCAAAACCAACATGCTTTTCGTGGAATTCCTACAGAGGCAAATGTTAGTATTCAAAGATCTCCATCGAAAAACAGCAGGTGTCATTCTACTTATTCTTAATATAAGTACTGCAGAAACCTTGTTATAAACTACACTGGACTCCGAAAATTTATACACCCTTAACTACACGGTAGTCATAGAAATTAAATGACGAAACAAACAAATATTTAAATATAGCCTAAAATTCAAGTTTGATACATTTGTAGGTAGTAAGATATAATGTAAGAAACATGTCATTAATGGTTGAAATTTAACTTCTTATGTCCGTTTCTGGTTGGTAATCAGATTAAGAAAAACAAAAGATTGTTAAATGGTCTGAGCGTAGAAACATTTATCATTGTATTGGACACTTTCCAGCAGATATGAAACTAGAACGGCCAAGAATACTTTGTAAGTCTTAGTGAAGATGAATTTAGCAAATCTTCAACAATATTACTCTCTTGAATGTCTTTACAGCTTAAGTGTTGGTGAAGCTACATCATGGGTAAGATATTAAAACATACTCAGGTATATAAAACAAAGACTGGAGGGTTTTTAACAAGGAGCGAACTGGTATCATTCGATTAGTAACAGTAACAAGGGAAAAGTCGATAAATGACAGTACTAGTTTTAAATCCATAAATAACTGTTGCTCTAAACCATGCGGCTCAATTCAAGGACAAGGAGCTGGTGTGACAAAAATCTTACTAATACTTGCAATCAATTCATAAATATATAAGACAAAGATGTGTCCATGTATCAAAAATACACATATACAAACATGCACATATATACATACAAAGACTCTCTCAACAAAAAGTATCTTAATATCAAGTTATTTACATCTGTAATTTATCATTCTTCTTAGTAGATTTAACTTAAATTGTCAGTTGAAGGGATAAAAAAGTCTTTAAAAAGGAAGATGACTTTAAAGGGGCTGCAGATTCTTAAGGGGCAGTCTACGCTTGACATTATTACGGACTGCCAGACCGTCAAGCAATTTATTTAGCTGTCTCACCTTTGTCTTGCAAGTTTTCTGTTAAATTAATTGTGTGTTTTACACCAAATAATTTGTTTTAATGGAATGTACCAATGTAGAATAAAGCACAAAAAAATTGTCAACATCATAATTATTAATTTTGCTCAGTATAAATGATTGTAGATTGTAAACTGAGGTCAAGAATTTATTATACTATTTACTTGATTTACAAGATTTTTGTATTATTATCCTATTGATTTCTAATTACACACCATGAGCAGAAAATATATTATAAAATAGTTAAACATTTGCATCAATCTACTGTAAACTGAATTTTTATTTGGACTTTTATTAGATACTCTATTACATTGGTTTTTATTTGTTTAATTTTTGATGTGTTATGAACTAATTACCTTATGAGTAATTATTTAATACGCTGCATGTATTAGCATATATTAAATGGATGTATAGTATATACTGCTGTAAAGCCTTGCGAAATATATAGGTTCTCGAAGCCCCTTCCCAACCTTAACCACCCCCCACCCCACTGTCCATGCATTCAAATTCACACACATACACTGTAAATACTGAACACCACAAGCTCGGAAAAAAACACTTCGCAAACACTAATAAGAGAAATCTCCAAACTTCACATAAAGTACTCTACTGATTTATGAACACCTCCAAACAGGGACACATTAATTTTATTCAATTCATTATAATTACTAAAATAGAATCAGAGGTTGTAAACAGATACTAAAAATTTGATCATACACACAAACACACAAAAAATTATTATTAATTTGTGAATAAAAGGGAGATAAAAAATAATTAATTTAAATGAAGATATGAATCCTACCTGATTGTAATCCTCTTCATCTTCAACTTCCTGGTGTGGCTCAATTTCTGGCTGGGAAGCTTGTGTTTCGGACACGGTCTGTTGAATAACCTGCTCTTGGAAGTCTACTTGGTTGACACTGATTGGGGCGCCTACAGAACTATAAGGAGGGGGTGGTGACATGGTCTCCACAGGGGGAGGGGGTTCAACTGGTTCTGGTTCTTTCACTTCCACCACCTCATTTTCTGGGTGTTGTTCTTTTTCATTTGGTACTTCTTGATCTCCATTGGTGGTCTAAATAATGGGTAAAGTAAATAGCAACAGATATTAATTATATAGATGACAGTAATGGATTAGGAAGGATTAACAAGTAATGTGCTTTCATTATATGTCTAATAAAATTGTAGAATAGAATTATATATTTGAATTGCTGACTTTGTATTAAGAATTCAAATTTGTACTTAACCAATTTGAAAGAAAAAGTTTTCTTAATATTCTAAAAGTTAAACGTGCAACGTAATTAACCTTATTATTTTGTTGTTAAAGCTTGTAAATGTACAGTATGCCATTTGAAATAACTTTTCTGTTTAAATATTATGAATGGACAATAAAGTATTATTATGACAATCATTATATTATGACACGTTAAGAGCTTTCAATTGAAAATAGAATAAAAGTATTTAATATTAAAACAAAATTTTTTTTTTATTCAAGTCTCATTGAAATTGGAAAACATATTTGATCCTTTAAAATAAGCAACTTTTATCTTTTTCTGAAATTTCAAGGGGTTTCCAGACTTTACAAGTGATCTTCAAAGACACCACAACAACAGGCCCATATGCAACTGGACTGTACATCCCAGTCCTTAGTATACTAGCATTGTGTTTCTTTACTATAAGCCTTTTGTGTAATGGTTTGTGTCTCAAGGTAAAAACCAATTTGCATGTCTTTCATTTGTTGTGTTTTATGTGGGTGCTATCATCCATGGATTATAGCCTTCAATAATTATCAATAAAAAAAAAATTGGAAAAACCAACATTTGCAATACATTTTCTTTCTTTTTTGGGGGGTGGGAGAGGAGGAAATCCTATTGTGGTTAAATGAGATACTGCTACAAATATGAAATAAACAACATACTTTTAACTAAATATTCAAACACTACTTTGTCTTTACATAATGCATATCCTTAAAGTTCTGGGAGTTAATTTAAGGAATTTTGTAGTAAAATATCTGTAAATCATTCAAAATATCTATTTTAAAAACACCTATAAGAATTAGAATAATATTTATAATTTTCTTGTACTTTTTACATTTTATATATTTAATTACTAATTGCACTTTCTATTTCTTGTAAATGAACTTAATAATTTTTCAATTTTAATGATTTTAAGTATTTTTATAAGGCTAATATTTGTAATTTAAATATTGTACCATAGTTTCTATTTTTATATTTCAACTTTTATCTAGCTATTGTAAACAAAAATTTTCAGCCATTTGCTATTGTTTTGTATTTGTTTATAAATACTGAAAAAAAAATTGTATTTTGATCTGTGACTTCTTGTAAGCAGATAACTTATGTAGTTCAATTAATATAAAGTTTTCCCCATCTATAACTAAGTGCAGGGATAAATACATTCTGCAATGATATTTTACCTGGGCAGCTTGGGCTGCTCGCTTAGCATCATGCAACTGCTTAGCCTTAGCTTTCAGCTCCCTAGGATGTGGCGTATTCTGCCTCTGGAACTGACTCTATAAGAACACACATAAAATATATTACAATATAAGAATTGTAATATAGAATTTTGTCATCAATAGGTTATTACAATCTGCCAATCTAATCTTTTTTTTTAAATACCAACCAAAAAATACCATTAAAAATTGATTATTTTTAGTGGGCCAAACATGACCGCATTTGGATCGTTTTAAAGGCCTACATATTCTAAGCGTGACGAGCCATCCACATTTTTCGCTAAATGCAAGGCCCGTACCTTTGGGGACATCGGTTCTAAACAGCCACTCGCATGTCTCCAAGAAAATCAACCCTTGAAAGATAAACCAGTGGCTCTCACATACAGAAAGGCATTATATTACGGCAACATTTGGTTGGTACGAATGGTTTATGTCGGCAAGTGTGCTGTTATTAGCGCAAAATTGCCAGAGCCTCTGTCTGAAAATGGCTCAAGATAGAACTGAAATTCACACGGTGAACAACAAAGTTGTTGTTTGGTACAATACTACAAAAAAACCTGGAATTGTTTACCAGTTCATCATCCTCTTCATCTCCAAGAATAAAGTCAGGGAAATTAACTACACGTGCCCGGTTATCATTCATTACATCTTGCGTGCCGTTTGGTTTCAAAATGTTATCTGCAACAGAAAAGACGTAGATTTACTTTCTATATAAACAAATTAAGAACTACTTAACCTTAAAAAATAAAAAAATAGAAACTTGTACATTAGTTTCAATAATCTAATTATCTAATACTATGCTATGTTTTTAAAGCTGTACTTTGGGGTTATCAATTATTAATATGTGTATTACATATGTTGTTGAATCTCCATTCACCTGAGTTGTTGCATCAGCACCAAACCACATATTTTTCAATTTGGAGTGGAAATTCAGTGAACCATGGACATGATTTGTTTTTCGTTTCACTGCTCATATCCACTATCATGCTCTAGTAGTCAATATGACTCAGATTCATCAAAATTTTATTATAACAATTTTTATTTATTCATCAAGTGCTCGGTCACCTTTATATATATATTTTTTTTTGGTATTCCAAGAAAATCCATAAACTACTATTATTAACAATAATTGATGGATGACCAAATAAATCAAAAGCAATGTAAAACAGAAAAAAATTCTGCTCAAACATAATAATAAGCTAAACTAAAAAATATATGTAGCAGAATACTAGTCATTATAATGCTTTAGCATCAATCCTATCTATCTAAAATTGAATTTAAAACATAAAGATCAGATTAATTGATAAACCTCAACACGGCGAAAGCCATGTTTTAAATACCACGTATCAAACGATTTTGGCCATCTTCTCAACGTTGAATGTCTCCATAACATGTACATAAACCTAATCATACACCATGCATATACAGTACATGCTTTCAAATATCAAGTCAAGAACTAGACCGATGTGACAATTTATCATAATATTTATAGTGTGTCGTCAAACAATTCAAAGACAGTTGCAGCATCATCACGACTAGCAATTAGGCTTGAATAATAATATATTGAATTCTACAAAAAAATCTTTAATTTTAAAATAAGAGAATATCACCCTTTCTCTTTCTGGGTAATTTGGATCAAATTTGATGATAATGTATTTTGGAAAGTATTTGATTACGTCAATTAAAAACTGTCTATCTAATCTAATCTCCATTGACATAAAACATAATAAAGAAAGGCATATGTTAGCCTACTACAATGTGTTAGCACCAACGATCTTAATTTACCCGGATTCAATGTGGATGGTTAATGGTGATGATGAAGTTGATAATGATGATGATGATGATGATGATGATGATGATGATGATGATGATGATGACGACGATGATGATGACAATGAAGACAATAAAAACCAAAAAAAATGTTCTTATAAATATATCAAGATGATGTGTTGACTAAATTTATTAAAAATTATGATGATAACAATGACACTGATAACATTGATGACAATGATTAAACTAATAAGAAGTTTGTTTTTTATTAGCTTCACTCACCTAGACTGATGCTCTCTGATGGTCCTGTCTGTGGCAGAAGGAAGCAAGTTAACACTTTGATCTTTTGAGCACCTATCTCATCTGTTTGGAATTTTAACATTGGCTGGGACTAATGAGCAAAAAGAAAAACCAAAGCACCACAATGTTAACAATTTACATATAGGAGCAGTACTATATGGTTTTCGTATGTAAGAAAATAAACATATTAATTTTCCTTATAAAATACACCTTTTTCTAGACACTTTATCTTCATTTTTGCCGTAAATGTAATGCTTCAGACGTTAGAATTTGTCTTAATTTACAACAGAATCAGAATAAAATATACATGATATTTATACATGTAATGTTGTCTTTTATTTAATATATGTATAAAAGCATATGACATCTTACACACACAAGATCGATATCTACAGATGACCTATTTTATAACAACCTTTAAGTTGTCTACAGCGAACAATGCCAACATCTCAGCACTATTTGCATCAACCTATTGATTTTAACAAATGTCTACATCAAACTCATTCTCGGCTTCCCAGAGCTATTCCATAATGAATTCATTTTAGTATCAAGGCAATGTTAATATTATATTCTCTATAATGTTTTTTGATATATTTTTTTTTAACTTGTTAATGCAGCTCTACCATTGTCTGGGAAATTACAATGAGCCATAATTGGAATTAGGCTTAATTGGCTGTCCTGAGTCCTTTTTGGACTGGATGTTTCACTGGTCAAACTAATCAGGTTTCTTTTAGGTAATCACCCAAGTCCTGTGTCCTATGTTAACTCAAGACAGGGGGTTCGAAACCAAGGGGCCGACTAGAGCCTCGGTCAGGGTGCCAGGATAAAAATTCCTTGAAGGGTTCATGGCTTAGAGTTTTTATGGCTTAGTATGGCACAAATTGTGCTTTTAGAAGGCAGTATTAAGGACTGTCTCTTATACACATCTAGATGTGTATAAGAGACAGCCATAACATGTACATAAATCTTCATTTTTGCCGTAAATGTAATGCTTCAGACGTTAGAATTTGTCTTAATTTACAACAGAATCAGAATAAAATATACATGATATTTATACATGTAATGTTGTCTTTTATTTAATATATGTATAAAAGCATATGACATCTTACACACACAAGATCGATATCTACAGATGACCTATTTTATAACAACCTTTAAGTTGTCTACAGCGAACAATGCCAACATCTCAGCACTATTTGCATCAACCTATTGATTTTAACAAATGTCTACATCAAACTCATTCTCGGCTCCCCACAGTTATTCCATAATGAATTCATTTTAGTATCAAGGCAATGTTAATATTATATTCTCTATGATGTTTTTTGATATATATTTTTTTAACTTGTTAATGCAGCTCTACAATTTTCTGGGAAATTACAATGAGCCATAATTGGAATTAGGCTCAATTGGCTGTCCTGAGTCCTTTTTGGCCTGAATGTTTCACTGGTCAAACTAATCAGGGTACCTGGTCAGTTTGACTAAGAAAATTAAATGTGAAAATCCAGCAAAACATTTCTTTTAGGTAATCACCCAAGTCCTGTGTCCTCAAGACAGGGGGGTTCGAAACCAAGGGGCCGACTAGAGCCTCGGTCAGGGTGCCAGGATAAAAATTCCTTGAAGGGTTCATGGCTTAGAGTTTTTATGGCTTAGTATGGCACAAATTGTGCTTTTAGAAGGCAGTATTAAGGATTAGCAATCAAAATATTGTTATTTGGATCAGGCAAATACACCACACAACCACTGCATATGTCATGTATTGTAAATAATAATAAAAATAATAATAATAAAAATAAATAATAACAATTAAAAAAAAAATAATAATAATAACAATTAAAAAAAAAATAATAATATATAATAATTAAAATAATAATTTAAAAAAAATAATAATAACAATAATAATAATAATAATAATAATAATCTTTATTTATTCACGAAAGTAGTATCACAGGGTCCAGGTCTCCCACCCCACAAACAATGCATGTGTCGTATGTTGAATAATAATAATAATAATAATAATAATAATAATAATAATAATAATAATAATAAATAATAATAACAATAAGAGACAGGAGCTAAGCTCATGCTCTCACAATAATAATTAAAATAATAATTAAAAAAAATAATAACAATAATATTAATAATAATAATAATAATAATAATAATAATAATAATAATAATAATAATAATAATTTTTATTTATTCTCGAAAGTAGTATCACAGGGTCCAGGTCTCCCACCCCAAAAACAATGCATGTGTCGTATGTTAAATAATAATAATAATAATAATAATAATAATAATAATAATAATAATAATAATAATAATAATAATCTTTATTTATTCACGAAACCTTTTCACCCTGTGGGTGTTCTTACAAAAGGAAGTGAGGTACATAAATACAATTATATAAAACTTAATAAACTAAAGCAAAAAACAAATATGCACAATTGACAACAGGCCACCAATGATTATTAATTTTAAATGTTTTTCTTAGCCTTAATTTGATTGTAAAGTGACTAGCAAAAAGAAACAAAAAGACAAAAAACAAAACCATAAACAATCAAATACAAAAAAAAATAAGTTTTACCAATATTGTATACTTAAAACTAACTTGATCTAAATCAAAATTATGACAAAGCTACATGATGTAAGGTAGCATTTGTCTGTTCTAACATTGACTACATAAACTAATCCTTAAAAGATAATGAGGATTAATATTCACTTAAAAACGAGGTTGAGGTTCACTATACTTTAGATTTTTATTTACTACAGACACTAGGTTAAAGGTATTTCTATTTGGGGCATTTCTGGTTTTGATATCAAGTTTGTGCCAAATATCTGCTCCACTATTATAGGTAAAGCTTCTTTCTTTTTTATATTTTGGTCTGCAATATCACCTTAATAGTTCATGAATGAAACTCAGATGCAACTATTTACTCTGTAGTCAAATATCAAGGGAAATACAGTCAAAGAAAATAACCATCTTTTATAATCTTAAAGTAACTCTGTGCACATTGTAATCAAGTCTACAGTAATCCTCCTTTGCTTGTTTACAATTAAACATCCTGAGCTATTTCCTGTGATTTGCTAAAAGCAATGCATATCCTTATTTACATCAGGACATGCTAACTGATTTAATGGACTCCGGTTTATAAGAGAGGCACTGTTAGTTGGTTATGAGCTATAAACAAAAGTAAATCATACCTGGTTTTCCGACAGCCATAAAGCCTTCAAATTGCAATTTGTTAACTGTATTGGAAGCCATTCGAGACGGTTCCCGGAGATGTTTAATACGTGCAAATCTTTCAAGTTGCCAATCTCGGGTGGAAGTCTTGTCAAGCGATTCTCACGCAGAGACAATACACCAAGACTTTTACATCGGCCAACCTATAGAATGTACAAAAAAAAAAAAATCTTATCTTTATTATTATTACTACTTATGCAAAAGACATTTCTTCGTGTGTGCTCTTACCTTCTGTAAGCTTATGTGTGTGGCTATGGGTTTCTATTGACTTTATTTTCTACATTAAATATACATTCACTATAAAAAATAGGCTCCCAGCAGGAGCGTGTGTCTACGACTTTATACAGGAGATTTTGTTTTTTTAAATTTTATCTTATGTTCTTCAATATGCAGATGTGTGTATTATTGTAGTGCATCTGGATTTTTCAAGAAAATTTTCTTTCATAACAATATTCTGTATAGGCCTACTACTATATTACACTAAAAACACTTCAAAAATAAGTAACTCTTGGAGTTACCACATTATGTCGTTGATCACGAAGAGTACTTCAATGTTATAGAGGGCGTCCTTCAAATGACGGTAAGAGGCGTTTGTGGCGAACGCGTGCTGCGTCTCTATAACGCGTGTTCACAGTCTTGAACGCAATTTTGTTCGAGTTCCGAACGCTATTTGGTTGTCAATAGAGCGCCCCCTACCTAGTGGTAGTTGTACCCATCATGCCTAAACCAAATTTACCCTCTTTCGCCATCTTTAATTGCTACATCGTGACATAGTGTCTACGCCCCCGTTAGGGGCAGTAGACACAAAAACCTATTCTGTAACAGGAGTTACAGGAATGTAGTTATGGTGGGCAGAGTTGGGCGGGACCACCCAGCCTTGAAGATTTCCATCCAGTCTAAAGATAATTTCGTGGTCCTCCACCCACCCTTATTAACCCACTTTTCCATCTTTAAAATCCACTCTTATTATTTAGAGCTTATTAATGTTATCAACTAACCCACTCTTAAAATATCTATCACCCACCCCTAGTTGTCTATAGCTACAGTACAACCCTGCTGGGTAACTGCCTAATCACACATAAAAAGTTCTTTAAAGTGCACACAAGCCAGATGTGTACACTGGACCTCTGTTTTTAAGTTCTAATCTGGGAAAAATTTGTTCAAACATTCAAAAACTTTTTCGAACTATATTATTAATATTTAAAATTGATTTGTAAGATTATTAAATTTTAAGCTAAGGGCACCACAGTTCAAAAGCTTGTATTGTAGCTTGTTTGTGGTGGGCCTTTTTTCACACCATTATATGTTCTTTTATGTATTGACTATTTCATTTTGTGTGAAAATAAACATTTCATTTTTTTTTTTTTTCCTAGAATGGTTTTTTTTTTTTTTTCAGATTTTATGTCACTAACAACCTGTTGCTTTATATCTTAAATATATTTTTATCAATTCCAAGTTTATTGAGCTCTTGCAGTTAAGATTGCTTCAAACCCTTGTCGAATGTATTTTTCAAGAACGTTTATTTTTTTTCAGATTTTATGTCATTAACAACCTGTTGCATTATATCTTAAGTATATTTTTATCCATTCTGAGGTCATTGAGCTCTTGCAGTTAAGATAATCTTATATTGACCGATAGTATTCTAGCGGAGTGAATGTACTATTCCATTTAATCTGCAGCCCGATAATATAAGTATACTGATATCATAAACATGCATGGGCCATGGCCTTAAACAGGTTGATGACTATATACATGCCACTTGATATATTACACAATAGTTATTTCTGTTCAAATAAAAAGTGAGCTAGTTATTTGTATGGTATATTTCTGTCTGCAATGTTCCCCCATAGGTCTTAAGATGTCTCACATATCCTTTTTGTTTCATTTTAAAAAAACATAACAAACATATTTATAGAGGGTGACCCTTCCAGCTCAACCTAGATCAGGGCCGTCCTACATATTAAAAGAAATATAAATCTGATGCTTTATAAACCAAGTTACAAGGCTTAGTGAATGGAGATGTTTTTTTTTTGTCATGAGAAAAATCCCCTGTGCTGTCACAGAATTTCAATCCAGTCTTCTTAACCACCAAGCTAACATCTCTACTGCTTTTTTTATTTTTTGGCCAACTTTGTCATTTGTTGCATGTTTTGTTCGGCATTCTGTACCATAAATGGCAAATATATGATTGGTACCTTGAATAAGTAAACTGATACAGGTATCCCTCTAATTAAAGGCCACCTCAAATTAACTAAAACTTTTCTGTGGTGACACATTAACAAATCATTTTTACCTATATTATTCTTATTAGAGACCAAATTACAGTAAACACCATGGAAACCCCAGTACCAAAAGTGGTATTTAATTGGAAGAAGACCTGCACTTAATATTTTTTTCTTGAATTGCAATATTAAACAGAATAAATGTATTAACTTTATATTCTGTACTCCTATTCAAACATTCTGATGCCAAAAAAGAGGCAAAAGAAGTTATATGTTATTTCTTATCACTGATCTTTTGTTTTTTTAATACTGTTTATTTAGATTGCTTATTTCGGCAGACTTGCACTTGCTTTGTACACCATTCTTTGTTGTTTTAGGACCGACCCCAATATTACAGTTGTATATTATAGTTGTTTCTTATCCCATTTGTAGTCTCCTGATGAAGTTCACTGTGTGGACGAAAGCTAGAGAAAAAATTATCTATTGTTAGTCTCAAAAGTGCTGCTGTTATTTACTTTATATTGTTCTATGTTGTTTCATGTTACTTTACTATGTGATTAGATTAAATTACTGTTTATTAAATTTAATAATTAAACTTGCCAAGTATACCATATGTAAAATTATGATTTTTGAGAAAATAGTTAATTGGTTGTGTTGAAGTTTGACTATATTATATGTTCCCTTATGTGCATAAATAAGTGGTCTTACATCTAGCCTTGGATAGATCATTAACTTTTGACATAATACCTGGAACAATGCATGCTGTATCATTTAGTCAACAATTTAATTAAATAATTAATATATACCTGAATACAGACAACCTGTTGACGCTCAAGTGTATGAAGCATGTAAATTGATGCATGACTAATGAGCAACACAAAATTTGTAAAGATGTGATGTAGATCCAACAAATAAAACAATACAATGTGAATTGTTTAATTACCTTGTAATGTTGGTTTCTTAATTATATACCGTGTTTATTGTAGAGAAGGGTTTTTGAGGGAGGGGTTTATTCGAGGTAGGCATGTATTTGAGGGAGGGGTTTATTTTCTTTTTGGTGTAAAATGAATACATATACTCAAATAAACTTAAATTTCACTATAAATGTGGAACTATGGTTAAAAAAAATATAATTCTACTAGAGTAGAACATAAATAGCATGAGTTGAGAATGATATTGCTACCAGTCATTTAGGGGCGTTTATTCGAGGAAAAAATAAACACCTTGGGCATATACTGGAGAAGCTGATAAACTTGAGCAATATGATATTGAGCAATTTACTATTCTTTAAAGGTTATATTTTTGTCAAATTTTACATCAGAGAGTTGATCTAGAACAGCTGAAAGCAATAAATATCTGCTAGGCTTGTGGATTATTTTGAACTGCTAGACTATAAGCAAGGGTGTAAGCCTGTATGCAAACTGACAGATCATGAGAATTATCAAAACTGTTAGGGTTAACAAATTTCTACTTTTCACTGTGTCCTAAACAATTATTGGATGATGATAATGATGATAATAATAATAATAACAATAATAATAATGATGATGATGATGATGATGATGATGATGATGATAATAATAATAATAATAATATTGGATTCCCTCAGGATAAACAATAAAAGAAAGAAAATTAAGAAAGAATAAATGTTAATCTGCAATTTACGATGTCTTAGAACACTGACTGTAAAAGCAGTACAGAATCCACATCTACAACATCATTGCTATGAGAGAGGCTATTCTTTGGTTTTTCACATTCAGGTATTGATTTAATTGTCTCTTTCTTAACCATCATTTTAAAAAATATATCTGTGGATATATAATACTGAAAATCATTAAGCATATTTTCATATTATCACTGTCTAGTGGCTTTCCGATGACAATGAGAACATAAATTTAATTAGCATAAAATATTCAAGTTAAAATAGGCCAATCAATAAAATTTAATTTTAAAAATATATATGTAGAAAATCATCAGTGAAATCGGTCAAAATACAAATCATGTGACAAATGTGTGCGATATCCCCATATTTGGGCATGATGGTATCATATTACATCCAATTATGGGCATAGCAGTTTTTGTCACATACGTTTTGATTGTGTGGTAAGAGCACAATGCTGATTGTTTCATCAACTAATACAAATAACAATCGCATGCCCTCTAATAACATATACCATACCATACACACTAATTATAAAGTAACATAATACTAGCAACAGAATTCTGCAGGATCTAAGGTTCTTAAGAAGCCAAATGTCAATTCAAATTATAAATTAAGTATTGTACCATGAAGTCAATTATATTTTCACCAGCTCCCAAGTTAAGTACTTGAGTGTTTGAAAAATAATCATCAAATTCTTCGTAAACAAGGGTATCCCCAGGAAAAAGGCCATCCACTTATATACTAAGAGAAATTTTACTTTTAACACCGCTGGGCTCATACTCAGGAATTTATGTTTACTATTGTTTAATATTACTATTAATCTGCCTCCATTTCAATGCTACAATCAAATTTTAATATTGCATAGTGTAAACATGTTCCTGGATCTAAAAATTTTGTCTAATAACAGGATATGACATGTGAGTGGACTGACAAGTGAATGATACATATCAAATAGCATGGCCTATGTTTGCCAGTAGCACTGACTCATTCCTACTGGGAGCCCTGTATCTTAGGCCAAGCGATTGAAAACTAAGCAAGGAGATTATTACGATATGCAACGTAAACTCCCAGTAAACACTTCTTTTGTGGGCAGAGGAAATCTGTCAATCAGACAAGACAGATAATTACAACATTACTTAATTATATTCTCATGAAATGTCTGTTGAGATAATCGACAACAACAAGCAAAGGCTGATGAGAATCTACACTGACAATCACTGACAGGAAATCACTACTTGTATAATATATTTTTAAAATGGTAGATAGATATATATAGAATATCATTATGTAAACATAAATTAATATAAAATTTCAGAAATTTAAAAAACTTAAGGATATTGAATATTCATTAACTTGAAATATTTAATATTTTAAAATGTATTGAAAATTCATAACATTAAAAGCACTGAATATTATAAAATCTGTAAGATATTGAATATTTGACTTGGAAAGCATTGAATATTCATGAACATAGAATTAATTTTTCATTACTATGAAAGATAATTAACATTTATGACTTTAACAGGTATTGAATATTCATGACATTAAAGCACTGAATATACATAACTCTGTAAGATATTGAATATTTGACTTTGAAAAAAAAAATGAATATTAATTTATGACCATGAAATATATTTTTCATTACTATGAAAGCTAATGAATATTCATGATTTAAAAGATTTGAAATATATTTATTTATTTATTTTAATGCAATATTCATGAATTGAATTATATTATTCATTACATTGAAATGTATCAACTATTCCTATTTTGAAAGGAATTTGAAATTGATGACTTTGAGAAGTTTAATATTCATGGTTACATGAAATGCACTTTAAATTAAAAAAAATATATATATATATATATAAAATACACAAAAAAAAAAAACAAACAAACACGCTAAGGGTAACTTTAGAAATAACCGGTCTGAAAGAAGTTGATGAGGCGTCTTTAAACCTACCTCTGGTGCTAGATGTGTCAGTCTATTTCTGTCAACACTTAGATTGTGTAATTTCTTCAGAAACCCAACAGATGCTGGTAATTCCTATAAGATAACAAAATAATCACATTGAGTATGTTTAAGAATTTAGGCTGCCTCTGGATTGAGATAGATAAATATTAACATATGACTGTAAAGCTGATGCACTGAACTGTTTATTCATAAAAATTTAGACCCTTAAATAAGTAATATCCAATTTAAGGAAGGGGTTCAAAGTCTCCTGAAAGTTGTGGAAGCCACTCTGAAATTGATTTTCCGAAACTTCCACAAGCAATCAAAAACTACCAGAAATCGGCCAATCTCCCTTAAATTTATTATTTCTAACTTAATATGATACCTACTGCAGCAGCGATTTAGTCGTATAAATTTTATAGTTCGAAAATTTTATGCTGAAACTAAGATTTTAACACTTTTTATGGCACTACCAACATTTACATGTATTATCAGATAATAACAAGGATCCTCCTACAACACTGCATTTCGTTTTAATTACTCTTACAATATGCAATTATAGTTTAGACTGTTTAAAACTGAACAAGCTGTGCTGTGTTAACATATTGACTGCCAATATTGGAGCGTGTTGCTGTGCACACGATATATATGTCTTCTGTATTGGTCTTTTGTATTGAAACTAAACAAGTTGTGCTAATAGCATTCAAAGCTTTTATTATAGTGTGTTGCTATGCACGTTGTTAGAATTACATTACTTCTTTATTAAATTCTTTTGTATTTTAAATTAACTTTGCTTGCATGTCAGTCATCTGATTAAGCACTAGTTTGACATTTTTGAGAATGTTCTTATTTCCTGTTTCTACGGTTTTCAGTGTAAAATATAATATGGCAGAACTGTTACACATCTCATTCCAATCTGACATTTTGGATATCAAGTAAAAAGGAACAGTTACGTACATTTCAGATACCTTTTTACATTCAAATGCATGAAATTTTTGTTTGATGTTTTGTTTTTATGATAAAGAAAATGCCTTAATTTGTTCATATTAGAAAAAGTTTGGTTTGTCAATTTCTTTTTTAAAAAGCTTATTAATTTTTTTTCTTTAATCTTTAGTTTAAATGTATAATAATAGGACACTTTGATGTGGATATTTTTTTTCTTCCTTCATTATATTATACTTTGTATTATACTTCAAAAGCTACTTTACTTATAAATTGTAAAATATGAATATTTTATTAAGGAATGACTTTCTTTTCTTTTATCTTCATTTATTTTATATTATATTGATAATGCAATTTTTGTTATGTTTGAAATGTTTATGTGATACCTTACTTTTTGAAGATCTAATAATGAAAAAAAAATACTGGTCAGCTGACATACTCCTACTGTATTGTCTGAAATCTTAAATCTTACTAATGTTAAAAGGAAGAATTGGTATAATTCACTTTTTTGTGTGGTTAATTTCCTTATTTATTGATCATTAAAATATTTTTGGTTTCTAATGTTAAACATTTCCTGTTCATAATTCAAAGTAGACATTTTCAGTAATAATTCACTTTTTAATTTATTACAATATAAGTGGTTGAACCAACATAGCATAACCAAATATACTATATATGAAGAAAAAAAAAATTTTTTTTAAATAGGTATATTTGTATGATGCAAGTTACATCAACTCATAGAATTCTTTCCATAATTATTTTAAGCTAGAAAAACACCCCAATAGAATACATGCCATCGGGTTAATTACTTCTCAAATTGTTTAATATTTGATATTACGAGAGCATTGAACAACTGAATTCTATTACAAATTAGTGACTAATCCATCATTAAAAGGCATGCATCGCAGACTTCATGCACACTCACTCAATCATTTAAGAGTTCGCACGCACATACATATGAGGTATGTCATGGCAAAATGGCTAGCACAGGTAAGAGAGCTTTAAAAATGGCCTAGAAATTGACAGTTTAACACGTTCGCTGCCAGAGACGCAAGTTGACATACGACAAGGTTCACTCGGGGCACGAAGGATGCAAATTCACGTCCACACCTGTCTAAACATACCACTAAATTGTATTGCATGTAAAATAGCTGGCAATGGTCACCAAAACATGAACTCTCACCCTGGAGGTTCAGGGAAGAACCCAAGAGCAATGATCTAAAAATATATACAGTATGTTTGTTCGTGTTTCATTACAGTTGATGGGAATGATTTATATTATGGTGGAACCCTTTATGCTTTGGTGTATGGGATGAAACTAGGAAAAAAGGCTTGGCAGTCAACATGTTAATACCTGCTTGATTGTGTCCCATAGTTCTGGAAATAGTCAACAACCTTTCACATCTTTTTTGGTAAATTTTATTAGAAAATGTATGCATGGATGACTTCTGAATGCGATTACTCAAAATCCTCTTTAAATATTTCCTTGACTCCATGAGTGGTGTACTTTTGCTTCCCAATAAGGCTTAAAATGTCCAACATTTATTTAATATTAATGACCTCTTATTTTAAAGATCACATTCTCAAGTATCTGAAAATATCTTTGCTATATAATTTCACCACAAAAAGCCTCATACTCAGAAATGGCAATATTCACATTGAATTTGTTTCATTTTAACTGGTATGTATGGTACTTTGTTTAAAATGTAAAGAGCACAGAGGCTTTATGGATTAAGTACTATTAAATATACTTCTATTTACCATAGTTTATTATGTACAGTGGAAACAACATTTTTCAGAGTAATTCTTTATTATGGTAATGTCATCGTTGTATTGAACAGCTCCATATGATCATACAGTTGGCGACAATGGTAACAGGACCCAAAAAGAAGTCGAAAATGATCTCATAATGTCGTAGAGGAAGTTGAAATGATTTGGAACGTCGTGACCTGCTTGACCTGCACTTGATAACCTAGGCATATATTATTATTATTATCCTATCATAATGAATCATCCTCATTTGCATATCTTGATCACTACCAATGTCTATGTTCAATCATACTGAAGACTCATGCTTGATGTGGATGCTCAAGTGGAATTAAGATTCACAACCCTGCCAAAATTTTTGACTGGCTCACATTTAAAACGATTCATACTTCAATGCCTGTTTGAAATAAGCTATCTTGTGATTAGCCGTAATGAAATACGTAACTCAGTGGAGTATCTAGGTATCTTGAAAAGCGGGAAGGTGGTAGGGGCATGAGGGTCGAGTGGGGCCTCAACGATTTAGTGAGGGAGCACTAGGTCGTAAAGTAAGGTGATATGAGGCTGTCTCTTATACACATCTAACAGTTACGTACATTTCAGATACCTTTTTACATTCAAATGCATGAAATGTTTGTTTGATGTTTTGTTTTTATGATAAAGAATACATGTTGAATAACTGATATCCTGCATTTGTCTGCAAAAACATATCTGGAGGCCCTCACATCTATGAACATTATGCGTTACAAGGTGTAACTTATTGCATGTGTAACATGTTGGAAGACCCCTACTTACATCTATGTATGTACTTATGTTCCAGTTTGTAATATACCGCCATGCTTAATATGCAACATGTTAAGGCACCTTAGTTTACAACTACCAATATACTTGTGTTACAGGTTTTAAATTAACTGCGGGTATAAAAAAGTATTTTCAATAAATGGAGAAGCTTTTTTGTATTGTAAATTAGATATACTGGTGACACAGTCTGAGTACTCGGTAACAGTTTAATGAAATTTTTTTATCTACATTTTGAAATGTCCTACAAGTTTCACTCAAGCGTGTATTGGCAAACAGTAAGAATTAACCATATCCAATATGGTGGCTAACATTTTTATGGGGCAAGATCAAGTAATAACTAAACAAGGAGCATAGTACACATTTTTGCTCTTGAAACATTTTCAGTTTCATAGTCTATTTAGTGCATATTGATCTTATATTTAATAACCATTCATTGTCCACAGAACAACAGCTACAAATAACCAAAGGCGCATTTTACTTTTCTTATTCCTTTCTAATTTGTTAAACCAATATACGAATTGTGTAAACAGCGCAAAGTTATTCATGATTAAAATGCATTCATTCAACAGGCATTTTTACCATCTATTAATATTCAAATTTATTTTAGTTTTTTTAACCTGCACTATAGACATCATAAAATCTATCTATAGTATACAATGCAGTGTTTAAGGAACACAAAGATATCTGAGTAAACATTTTAGACAAATAGCTACATGCTACTAAAAAAAATAATACTTACTTGTAGAAGATTTTCAGTGAGGATGAGTTCTGTAATACATACACAACTGCAATGGCAAACAAATTTCAAGAATTAACCGCGAAATGAGCTTGTAATGTGAAAAGAAGCCATCCAAAGTTTGCAAAAAATAAAAAAAGAAACCCAGGGTTTCTACTCGAGATTTTACTGTACTACTAACGGTACATCAAAGTCATATATAAGGGTTAATGAACCCTGGGATTACATCATATCATCACCATCGTATCCTGTAATAATTATGTCATCCCATAATTTCACTGCGCTTATTATTTATTTATTCATTTGGCGTCGCTGCCCGGGAGATGCAAAATCAGGAAACCTACGGTCGCCAAAAGGGCGTGGACGATATGTCAAAAAAATTAAGACACGTAAAACGACCTGTCACTATGTGTATTCATTCCACACATGACCTTTGTGATAGGATAAAATATCTGTATATTTGCCTAGATTTTTGACATAAACATATGCAATTAAAACTACTAGATGGCATGTTGGAGCAATGAGAATGAATACATCTGACAGCACACATATTTTCTCTATGTAGCTATTGGATTTATGAAATTGTAATGAAGGTTTCTGAATACTGCAAACTAGTAAAGACAGAAACAGATTCTCCTTTTATTTCTATCTCATAAAACTTGACATTATTTACAGCCCTTTTAAGCCTTGTCTAGCCTATCAAATTTTATTTGAAAAAAAAAACATGCCTAAATAAGGTCATGATGACATCACACTATGACCATATATATAAGCACATCATCACTATACAGGGGTATACAACAATTTGATTGTCTGGACACAGCGTTAGGCACTCAATTGCCTGTTTGTGAATGTAGGACAAAGGCAAAAAATTTTCAGTTAAAATACTATTGAGTTGCCGAGAGTTCAAAATCATATTGCTCAGACAATCACTATTTTTACAAACTCCTCAGACAGAAAAGTGATTGTTAATAGATGAATTTCTTTGAAATAATATTTCATTTTCATCCAGCAGAGATACAAAGCTCCTTACCTTCCAATTGCAGCAGTCAATTTTGTCAACCGATTCTGATCCACTTTGATGATGCTAAGTAGACGTAGATTCCCTTAAAAAAAACGTTACAAAAATCTTTTTATGACAAATAGGACAAGGTCAAAATTGTTTACCATATAAAAATAGTATATTATGAAAATAGAAAAAAAAATATAAGTTAATATGCAATGAAGAGTCTATGTCTTCTTTATTGTGTAAAATGTTTGTTGTGATGCATACATAAACTATAATCAACAAAAGACAGATTTCATTCAGTCCTTACCATCTTTAAAATATTTCACATGCTTTATAAAATTGCATTTTAACCATCATTGTTGTTGTTCAATGTTACTGCTATACTATTTATCTTTAATCTTTTTCCCCGCTCTCGCATTACATTGTTAATTTGTCAATATTTGTCAAATATATTATTACATATTGTTATACTTGTACCAAGGTACCAATGTTTCCTTGAAAGCAACAGTAGTCAATGAATCATCATAGCTTGAATACAGAAAGCTCAAATCTAACCAACAACTTGCTGATAGGTTAAAGTTGAGATGCAAAGGGGCCAAAATACATTTCTGTGTTTCAATTTCATTATATCAATATATTATAATTATGCCAAAAGTATTTCAAAACTGAAATTTATCAACTACATCATGGCACACCAGAATAGAGATCATGTAATTGTCACAAAGTATTGATCTCTATTCTGTCACACCAGACTAGAGATAAGGATTTTCTGACATTGACATGGATGCCTGCACTCACCAATGCCTTCTGGTAGTTTCTCCAGGCAATTCTGAGACAGATGCAGGTCTGTTAGGTTCTTCAGTCCTGAGATTTCTTCAGGTAATGTTTCCAAGCAGTTCTCAGACACATCGAGGCAAACTAGTTTGGTTAAGTTACCAAGCTCCTGCAGATCATCAAAAAAAAAAAAAAAAATCATTCATTAAAATAAAAGCAACAATAATATCTACACTGACATTGGATAAGTTTTGGTGTTTTGAAAAACACATCTTACAATGGTATAAAAAGAAACTATGAAAAGTCTCGCAAATATTACGAACGTATTTATTTCTCATGTCAAGAATCCAGATTAAAGGATTATCATACTCTACATGTGAGACTGCCAGCAAGCATAATATACACTTTTTTCAAATATAATAAATAGTGTTATGCAATGTAACCAATTGTTTATGTTGTATTTATTCACACAGTATTACTGTTAATTAATTATTCATATAATCTAAATTGAATTAATACTAGTAAAAAAATATTACAGTTGCTTTCTTTGTACGGTTATGTGTAATATCAGTTTTCAAACGAAAATTAGAGGGAGAAAGTATTTTCCTCACTAAATTTATTTCAATCATTTTTAGATACAATAATACATAATGGACTCTAAATTAGCTGATAAAATAAATTGTTTGTATTAAAATATCTATAAATAAGCAAGAACTTAGTCTTCATCTGAATCTCATTGTTGATAACATAGAGTATTTAACACTTTTTAACACGTTGACTGCCAGACCTTTTTTTTTACGGTTCCTTCCCGTGTGCCAAAACAAGTTCACATGTACAAACATACTTTTTTGAAATTTTATCTAGTCATATATCATCAAAATGATGTGTCTAATAAATTGGCGGGAAAATATTAGGGGGCGAGTATACTCATCGGTGGCACTGTGAAAGAACTTTTTGCTGACTATGCCAAGTGCGAGTTATCTCGTCCTCTTTTTGCATGGGTTGGTATATGTTCAAAGGGCGCCCCCACTTGTACCGCTCAAGTGTACTACCGGCAACATAACACAACAAACATACATATGTCATTTGTACGTTATCGTCTAAGTGTATCTTCCCCGAACTACCAGGCGTCGAGTCTGTGGTCGTACATTGTATAGTAAAGAAGTTATAAACGCTAGAATGTTCCCCCGTTTTTGACGAGTATACTCGTTCCTTGCGCCCTCAGCAACACCCTGTGGGCGAGTATACTCGTCGCTGGCAGCCAACGTGTTAAAAGCTTGAATACAGAAAGCTCAAATCTAACCAACAACTTGCTGATAGGTTAAAGTTGAGATGCAAAGGGGCCAAAATACATTTCTGTGTTTCAATTTCATTATATCAATATATTATAATTATGCCAAAAGTATTTCAAAACTGAAATTTATCAACTACATCATGGCACACCAGAATAGAGATCATGTAATTGTCACAAAGTATTGATCTCTATTCTGTCACACCAGACTAGAGATAAGGATTTTCTGACATTGACATGGATGCCTGCACTCACCAATGCCTTCTGGTAGTTTCTCCAGGCAATTCTGAGACAGATGCAGGTCTGTTAGGTTCTTCAGTCCTGAGATTTCTTCAGGTAATGTTTCCAAGCAGTTCTCAGACACATCGAGGCAAACTAGTTTGGTTAAGTTACCAAGCTCCTGCAGATCATCAAAAAAAAAAAAAAAATCATTCATTAAAATAAAAGCAACAATAATATCTACACTGACATTGGATAAGTTTTGGTGTTTTGAAAAACACATCTTACAATGGTATAAAAAGAAACTATGAAAAGTCTCGCAAATATTACGAACGTATTTATTTCTCATGTCAAGAATCCAGATTAAAGGATTATCACACTCTACATGTGAGACTGCCAGCAAGCATAATATACACTTTTTTCAAATATAATAAATAGTGTTATGCAATGTAACCAATTGTTTATGTTGTATTTATTCACACAGTATTACTGTTAATTAATTATTCATATAATCTAAATTGAATTAATACTATTAAAAAAATATTACAGTTGCAGTTCTTTGTACGGTTATGTGTAATATCAGTTTTCAAACGAAAATTAGAGGGAGAAAGTATTTTCCTCACTAAATTTATTTCAATCATTTTTAGATACAATAATACATAATGGACTCTAAATTATCTGATAAAATAAATTGTTTGTATTAAAATATCTATAAATAAGCAAAAACTTAGTCTTCATCTGAATCTCATTGCTGATAACATAGAGTATTTAACACTTTTTAACACGTTGACTGCCAGACCTTTTTTTTTTACGGTTCCTTCCCGTGTGCCAAAACAAGTTCACATGTACAAACATACTTTTTTGAAATTTTATCTAGTCATATATCATCAAAATGATGTGTCTAATAAATTGGCGGGAAAATATTAGGGGGCGAGTATACTCGTCGGTGGCACTGTGATAGAACTTTTTGCTGACTATGCCAAGTGCGAGTTATCTCGTCCTCTTTTTGCATGGGTTGGTATATGTTCAAAGGGCGCCCCCACTTGTACCGCTCGAGTGTACTACCGGCAACATAACACAACAAACATACATATGTCATTTGTACGTTATCGTCTAGGTGTATCTTCCCCGAACTACCAGCCGTCGAGTCTGTGGTCGTACATTGTATAATAAAGAAGTTATAAACGCTAGAATGTTCCCCCGTTTTTGACGAGTATACTCGTCGCTGGCAGCCAACGTGTTAATAAGCAATTAAATATTTATTATGGATTCTTATAGTTTTTCCAGATTTAACCATAGACAGTATCCTTAAATTAATAATTTAGGTTTTGTTTGCTAGCATTATTTAATCAAGAATACCATGCATCTTCAATAGAGTGCACTGAACTAATTTAGTTTCATATTTCTGATTTATGTGTGTCACAGATTCTAAGTCATTTATACTTAGCATTCGGTTTCATCCCTTTTGCTTACCTTTAATTACTAAAATCTAACAATTTATTCATCAGACTAAATGATGGGCTTTGAAGAGTTCAATTATTTCCGCCCCTGTTCCCTCTGGTTTTAAAAAATTCCACGCTCATCCCAAAACAGATTTTGCCAATCACACGATGTAATTAATAGCGATGATTTCTAAAGCGTGCCTCATTTTGTGGTTTTTATTGAGGCAGTTGTTTTCAGTCGGGAACAAATCCTAGGGTATTTCAGAGATTAAGAACACGATCATAGAACTGAGTATCAACCCCGACCTATCTATAAATCCCTATTGTATCCTGCTCAATTTTGTATGCATAACATCAAACTGTTCCATTTAAAACATCTCCATAAGTGAAGTATAACAAATATTTTTATTTTTTAATCTTTTTCAGCTAGCAATCATACTTTTTTTTTACAGCTTATATAGCACTGCAAGTGAAGTGTGCTTATCGTAAACTACAGATACACATCAAGCAGAAAAGTAACAGCTTGAAATTTAACATTTTAAGTAGTTGAAGACAGTAGGATCACTTCCTACATCTTCACTGCACGGTAATAATAATGAGGATTCTGAAAAATTGCTTTTGTTCAAATGCCCGAGTATTGCAGCAACAAATATGATGTTTGAAATGCAAGATATAATACATATGTACAGCAGAGTGCAAAGGGTATAGTTACAGTGAATTGAAACATTTCTGACTGCTGTACTTAGTGTTCTTAATGGTAGAATTCAATAAGTAGCTAATACTGTAGATGTACACTATCTGATGTGGATTCATAATAAAAACAGGTAGCTAAGAACATAAACATGCCTAACACCTGCTTTGCGTGGGACACAGGCTCAGCCAATAGCTTTGTGTCAGGTCTTCCTTTAGAAAAAAAAAAGAAGAGTTCCAAATCGCTTTCATTAAAATATAAAGCAGAGTCCTCTTAAAGAAAACTGATCTTTGCCTTGGTATCCTGCAAGCTAAAAGCAAGAAAAGGAATTATCGATTTGTAAAATGTACACTCAATTTTTTTATGGATTTTTTGGTTATATTTTTAAATTTTTATTTTCTTTTTTTGTAATGCAAAATAAATTTATATTGCTAATTCTTATTTTGATTTTAAAATGTTTTTTTTTTCTATCTTAAAGATAGGTTGAGCTTACTTGAATTGCATATATTTTATGAATTTCATCATATTAATAGATTTCAATTAAACATTTTTCACACCAATTAAATTTAATTTAATTTATTATATATATGCTATCAAGGGCTAATATATCATATGACAATAGATATATAAAAAATAGAATTTTCTTCATCTTTACATTAGTAGGTAACCAATTCAATGTTGGTGCAATGAAAGGTCTGCTAAGTCATCAAAAACATATTTATTCCAGACGTTATTACCTTTTTTATATTCTTTCTGAGCAACTCAACGCTTTGATGGTTTTAAATATATTTCTTTATCCATTTCTTATGACTGATGGCTTCTTTATATATCCAATTCTGGTACATTTTATTATGAAGTAAACAGTCTTATTGTCCATTTGTTAAACATTTATTATTTTCTTTTTAAACATTTTCCTTTAACATGCAATTACAGCAATCATTAATTTGTTAATGATTCTCTACTGAAGAATTCCACTTTCAATTACAACTTTAAATCTTCACACAAAAATCCTGTGTATACTTAGAATTTAGCAGTGATTTCGAAAGCTGAATTTTGTGGGTCAGTGTATGCAATGCACGCAGATGAAGCTGCTCAGAAGGCTAGCCCAGCGATGCATTTCATTGGGTCGATGCCATATTCAGCAAGATTACTTTATACAAACATAATTCAACATAATGAGCAATACTGTATACTACTGTAACCTAGCACATTTTTGAAATTACAGTAAACTTAAATTTTTATAATTCTGTAGCTTTTCACCACACTACACTTAAATGTAATAATAGCCTTGTTAACATTGCAGCCTCATACAGAAACATCTCCCACTTAAAGGCGAACCAAAATTTGAGAAGTACTTATTAGATAAGACCAACTTCAAGGGACCCAACCAAAAATTTAAAGCTCGTACAAACTGCCTGGATTTAGAAGCCCGTTAAGAATCATGGCATGTTAATACAGGCCTTTGTCTTATTTGTGAAGCGAACCATAAAGAAACAATATATCACTTTCGCTTTAAATGTTCTAAATTAAAACCAATCAGATTTAATATTTTCTGAATTGGAAAGAGATCTACGTAACCATAACTTAGACATTCATTGGACTAACTTCATTTATGGTTCTGATGATTTTAAACATCATATATTTTTAGATGATCTGTCTGATAAAGATGAAAATCTTTCAATCATCTTCTGATAAATATTGTAAAAAATACATTCAACAAGCACGGAATTTAAGATCAAATATCTTTAAGAACATTAATACCTAAGTACCACCGATATAAGTTGCTTATTATTATCTTTATTATTATTTTTAATGAATTTGTTTGATGGAACGTTGTCATTTGGCTTTATTCACTGAACCTTTAATACTTCCATAATGATTTTCATAGTTAAGTTGATTTCTTCTTTTCAATTTTCTGTTGATTTTGGTCTTTTGGATACACCATCATTGTGGATGTGTGCCACTGTAATAAAAGTGATTCCAAATTAACTGAAACTACATACCCTTCCATCCAAACAGAGTTCATAATCATGAAAATTCTTAATTCAGAGAATTAAATTTTCATAGCATCTCAGTGATGGGGGTAGACCGTAATTGGGAGATTTTATTGTACATCCCTGGGCAAGGCATTATATCTCTACAATATTTATTAACTACCCTGTGCAATGTAAGCGACATTTTATAAAGTTTATGTGTACAACTGAAAGTATTTCAGATGATCTTTTGATTGGTTAAAAGTTTGTTTGCAAACATTAATTTTGATGCACAGTACTTCATGTAAAAACAAAATTCAGTTAAGTCTTTTAATACGATGTTCCGCAAACGATGGTTTGCGGCCTAAATTTGGGCCACGAAACATTTTTGGAGGGCCACCAAGCCATCTGGAAATTGAAAAAAAAAAAAACCAAAAAAACCCAAAAAACAAAGAGACGTTTCATCATGGAGAAAATAGTTTTTAATAAAGCCGCTTCATTGTTACAGCAAATGTGTCGCTTGGATACGCTGCTAAAGTGCCAGATATGATGCGTGCTATTTGAGTTATAAGCAGTTTTTGTCGGGGGGTGGGGGTGGGAAACACAAATGTAAGGTATTATTTATTTAATAGAATAATATTTAATTTGTATACGATGAAATTTTATCACTGAGAGAACAGATAATGTCAAAATATTGTATAGGCCTATACATAGAGGCCTCATGATCAAAAGTTCTTGCCAGGTTTTGGTATGTTAGTCCCTGGCGCGGCAGGGCTGCGGCTTGGTGCCTAGAATCGTAAATAGGCCGTGAAGTAAAAAGTTTAATAGAAAACATTGTATGTTCTACTATGAGCAGCTAAAACTGTTTATGTTAACTAAATAGAGTTTTCACAAAAGCTTATTGTTATCTGTTTATATATTTTCTATAATGAATGTGCTACATCTACAAAACCTACCAGTATAGCTACAAAACCTACCAGTATTCACAACTTTCCACACTGACGATCAGTCAAAGGCCACCCAGGACAACAATTACCAGGAAAAAAAAAAAAAAACACCATTTAATGGACTGTTC